TGATGTCATATTGTTCTTTAATTTAGCCGGAATAGCAAGCTGCTTTCGATCATCTGTACACGTGCCATTTAATTTGTGTATTACACAAATCTTTCCATGAAACAGACAGTTTTAAGTGCAAAAGGTGCGAAAGTGCAGAATCACTCCAGCATCCCCTTAAGCATTCAAAATATGCAAAAAAATTTTCCGATTTTTTGAAGCCAAAAGAGTCCTATGTCCCCTTAAAGCTTAGGGCTTAAATCACCTATTGTAGACTGGGACTTGACAATCTTTTCTTCTCGCGGTAAAAAAAAAAAGCAGAGATAATCCCATTTCTTCCAATGTCGCACGTTCCACTCACCGTCGCGGTGCAATATACAAATGTAGTGCACTCGTCGCGCGCAATACACGGACTTGCAGAACAGATTCCGATCGGAATTGCTCCGTTTACCCTAGAGAACGATTCCGATCGAGATCGATACCAAGTATCTCCACGATACCCCGAGCAGAACGGACGCGCCTTTTGTTTCTCACGGTCAAGCCCGTTAATCCCGTCAGTATCGAGTGGACTTGTGGTAAGGGGGGGAGGGAGAATATTTGTATTAGCCAGATCTTTACGTTTAGCGCGAGTCGTGCGACGAGGGCTCGGACCATCGCATCAGTTGTCATTGACGAATTTTTGTATGGATTCTACTGGATCATTGTCACGAAAGATTATTGTCATGAACATTATCGGATAATGCGATCTGTGCAAATGCATCTTTATTATTGGACCTAGGCTAGGCTAGGTGTCGTGTTTATTTGTATATTGCTCAATAGTTTATATTATAAGAATGTGTTACCTGTTGTATCATTTTTTTTTATATATATGTAAGTAATAGAAGAAGAAAACGATGTTGCTGCATATTTTAGGAAATTTTGTTTTTCATTTTTTTAAAAGAAAAATTTATTACAACTGTACACATGTTCTTGCGCTAAGAAACATATTTTGTACAAAATAAATGTTCGATTTCGACCTCTTTCTACACAGCTGTGAGTGTTGTCTCGCCGTACCGCGTCGTCAAACGTGCGAAGCGCGTTCGCGACAAAGTTCAGTCGTGTTTTGCGGACTTGCTCCGACAAAAGAAAAATAGCGGGGGAGCAAGTAGGCCCGCGGGTGCAGTTTGAAGTTGGACGCGCGCTACGTCTCGACGAGGATGACGAGCGAGCAGCCGTCGCAGGTGACCTCGAGCGTCGCGTTCTTCTGCCAGAGGTCCTCTCGCCCGACCAGGTAGTTCCCGCCGCATCTGCAGCGGTAGAGCAACGTGTCCTCGCGACCGGACTCCTCGAGGTCGCTCGGCGAGAGGCGCGCGTACACGGGACTGCTTTCCTCCTCCAGACACTTCTGCCTGCAGGCCGCGTCGTACTTGCGCCTGAGCGTCGGATCGCCGAGCACCCGCCAGGCCTCCCGGACGTCCTCGAACTCGCGGAACTCGCCGTTGCCGCTCTTGTCGGGATGAAGCAGCAGCAGGCGCTGGCGGTAGGCGCGCCTGAGCTCCTCCTGGGTGGAGTCTTGGCTGCGGCGGAGCACCTTGTAGTAGTTTAACGGCATCGTCGCGGGACGGCGAGTTGCCCGCGCGACGACTAACCTATGCGTGCGTGCACGACGCCTCGCGCGTGACGCGCCTCGATATGCCACGAGGCTTGAGAGCGGAGCTATCGATTACTAGCGACGGAAAGACTGCAGGCCGGCGTGGCATGGAGTATGGACGCGCGCGCGAAGCGGAGACTCGATCGGCAGTGTCGGGAGATGCGTAGCAAAATAGTTGCGGAAGTAAAAATGGGAGTAAGGGCACGCAGAAGAGTCTCCTGAAAGAAGAAAAGGGCCGGCGGGGCCGCGCTTTCTCTCTGCGACATCTGACAAGTTGAATAGTCGAAAGTAATCGATCCGTAGCTCAGTCGAAACATCTCGATTAGTCGAGCACTGTGTGTACTTCGGCCAACTTCGGCCGGGTAGAGGAAGCTTGTTTGCGTCGCTGCTCCTCGATTCACTCTGGATTCACAGACCGGGCTCATGGAGTCGAGGAAGCTCCTGCGCGTGAAAAGGTACGTCGGTTAAGGATGGCCGCGGTCAGGTTGGCCGTTCTCGGGTTTCTCCGATTTGAGTTTACGAACCTAGCGAAAAGTGTATTCACTCGAATAAGTTATAGGTTAGGTAACCTATAAAGCCTAATCTACAATGTGCTTTCTGCATCTAGAAACATTCTATTTTATATAAACAAATCGAAACGCTTAAAGCATGTACGATTGTACAGTATATAATATACAATTCATTCACTTGCGCAAACTTTTAAGTGTATTTAGTGGCTACAAAATAGAATGTTTCTAGATACGGAGAGCACATTGTAGATTAGACTTAACTCATTTGAGCGAATGGATTTTTCGTTAGGCTTGTAAACTTAATCTCAATGGTACCATGCTGCCCACACAGCACAGGAAGATTGCAGAAATGTTACATTGCAAGATTGCAATATTGCAGCAACGTTGCGCAACATTGCTGCAACGTTGAAATGTCCGCTCTCGAAGAGATTGCAGTGCAACATTATAGCAATGTTGCAGTGCAATATTTTTGGAATAATTTGTTGTTGTACATGAGCAGAGAATTTACTAATTACATATGCAGCCTTTTTCAATACACAGCAAGCTACTGCCAAGCAACCCAAGGAGATTAATTATGTCGCTTCGCAATAGACTGAGATTGCGAGCAACACTGCACTGATCAAGCACTTAATAAATCGCGCATTGTTGGTATCAACGAAAATAACATTATAAAATTCTCGTAATTAGGAAAATTTTTTAAATAGAAAATACAGTATTTTCATTATTTCTGAAACATTGCTGCAATATTGCTATCGGAAGTTTGCAATTTTATATCCCTGCAATGTCTCTGCAAGATTGCAACGTTTCTGCAATGTAACTGCAACCATCTGTGCTGTATCCCACACAGCACAGAAAGATTGCAGAAATGTTACATTGCAAGATTGCAATATTGCAGCAACGTTGCGCAACATTGATGCAACGTTGAAATGTCCGCCCACGAAGAGATTGCAGTGCAACATTATAGCAATGTTGCAGTGCAATATTTTTGGAATAATTTGTTGTTGTACATGAGCAAAGAATTTACTAATTACATATGCAGCCTTTTTCAATACACAGCAAGCTACTGCCAAGCAACCCAAGGAGATTAATTATGTCGCTTCGCAATAGACTGAGATTGCGAGCAACATTGCACTGATCAAGCACTTAATAAATCGCGCATTGTTGGTATCAACGAAAGTAACATAAAATTCTCGTAATTAGAAAAATTTTTTAAATAGAAAATATAGTATTTTTATTATTTTCGAAACGTTGCTGCAATATTGCTATCGAAAGTTTGCAATTTTATATCCCCGCAATGTCTTTGCAAGATTGCAACGTTTCTGCAATGTAACTGCAACCATCTGTGCTGTATCCCACACAGCACAGAAAGATTGCAGAAATGTTACATTGCAAGATTGCAATATTGGAGCAACGTTGCGCAACATTGCTGCAACGTTTCTGGAGGATTTCAGCAACGTTGAAATGTCCGCCCTCAGAGAGATTGCAGTGCAACATTATAGCAATGTTGCAGTGCAATATTTTTGGAATAATTTGTTGTTGTACATAAGCAGAGAATTTACTATATAATTACATGTGCATCCGGGCCTTTTTCAATACACAGCAAGCTATTGCGAAGCAACCCAAGGAGACTATGTCGCTTCGCAATAGACTGATTGTGAGATTGCAAGCAACACCGCACTGATCAAGTACTTAATAAATCGCGCATTATTGGTATCAACGAAAGTAACATTATAAAATTTTCGCAATTAGAAAAATGTTTTAAATAGAAAATATAGTATTTTTATTATTTTCGAAACGTTGTTGCAATATTGCTATCGAAAGTTTGCAATTTTGTATCCCTGCAATGTCTCTGCAAGATTGCAACGTTCCTGCAATGTAACTGCAACCGTCTGTGCTGTATGGGAAATCTTTAAAATCTGCAAGTAAGATATACGCACCAGTTAGGAGTCTAGTTAGAAAACACCGGCCTCTGTTTCAATGAAATAGGTGGGAACGTAAAAATTCACATTTCCAGTTAATATAAGAATCAAACTGGAAGCAGAACGTCATACATCTTCGTTCACCTCTTCGTTGTAGTTAACGTTTTAACAATTCGTCTAATAACGCATGCGTTTCGCACAATTTATAATCGTACCGCGATTCAAGTACCTGTTTGTGTGTTTTTTTTTGTTATTTAAAATACTTTTAAAGCTTCGATTTGAAAAGTATTACACTTTTTAACACTGTCGCGCATTTTTGCAGGATGTCCGCGGAATCGAGAAAGAGCCTGTCGACGTGGCAGCAGTGCGACAAATGCCGATGCACTCTGACGCAAAGGGACGTTTCCCTGCACGAGGCAAAGTGCCCGCCCTCCACAGAGAATTGGGACTATCCGTTCGTCCACAACGGCGTTTTGTACAGCACGACGGAAGTCTTCCCGACGAAAGGTGCGCAGCCACGCGATCCTCGTAGCTAACATAATTTCCACTCGCACCCGTCTTCAACTCTGTTGTGCATCTCGCAGAATTACCCAAACGCATCTCCGAGAGGGACGCTAATGACATGGTGTTTATGACGCAGTTTGCCATGGAACTGTGCGACATTGCGATCGGCTCGCCGTGCGTAGTCGCGACGTGGGACGAGGTGGTTGTCAGGACAGCCTGGCCGACTGACGAGAAGAGTCTGACGAGTGTTTCCTTAACGAAGCACGGTGAGCCGACTAATGTACGCTTCTACCAATGCAGATTAACTGTAATCTCGGTTCAACGTATTTTCCAACTCTTGGGCTCGGTTTCGCCAACCGTTGCCTAACTTTGATCTTGGTTTAATTCATGTTTGTCTTTTTCTAAAGTAACAGTCGAAAGGAAACGAAGAACGAGTTAGGCTAAGCTGAGATTTTAAGGGGAGAGTTGCCAGCTGCGTTTCTGTTTCGTTGTTTTCAGCCATTGAGCTGAATAATCTGTCGGGATTGGTCAAGGTATGTCCCTTGACGTCCGACGTCCGCGTCGCCAAGGAAATTGTAATTAGCCAGCAGGGAAAGCGCCTGGTGTCCGACGTAAGCGTAGAACTGGACAATATCCTGAAATACTGCAACGAGCACAAGATATTCACCGTGGGAAACAGGATAAGCGTGTCGTATTACGGAAAGAAGTTGACGTATAAAATTGTCGAGATCAAGGCGGAGGTAAACAAGGGGGAGCAAACCGAGGCGGCGGATGGCAACGATCTATCGAAAGCGTTCGCAGATATAAATCTGACCAGCTCTTCTGTCAAAGTAGCCTTTTACAAGGCGCTGTACACGACGAAGTGGACAATCCTGGACACGGATAAAAACAAAGAGAATGCCCCAAAGAAGAGGTACAAGGCTGAAGATATCGGCGGATACGACGCTCTCATGTCCGACTTGAGAGACGTGATCGCGATAGGCATTGGCAGACACAGGAGCATCATCGAGCGTTTCAACGTCAGCAAAGGGATACTCTTGTACGGACCGTCCGGCGTCGGTAAATCCATGATAGCCGACGCTGTGATCGCGGAGTATAACGTCAGCACGTTCACCGTGCACAGCTCGGACGTTTACAGCAAGCTGATCGGCGAGACGGAGGGTAAGCTCAAGGAGACGTTCAGCAAAGCGATATCGAGCGCGCCTAGTATAATATTGCTGGAGGACGTGGACAGTCTGTGCCCGAAGAGGAACAGCTCCAGCACGAGCCAGGAGAAGAGAGTCCTCGCGCAATTGGTGGCGCTCTTCGACGATCTGCAGAGCACCGGCGGCGACGTGCTGGTAGTGGCCACCACCGCCAAGCCGGACTTCGTGGACGACTCCCTGAGGAGGCCCGGCAGACTCGACATGGAGTTCGAGATTTACGTGCCGACCCCAAACATGCGCGCGGAGATACTGGCCAAGTTACTCGCCAAGATCCCCAATACGCTCTCGCCCGAGGATGTGCAGAGTATCTCGTCCGTCACGCACGGCTTCGTGGGCGCGGACCTGTACGGTCTGTGCTCCAGGGCGATAGTCGGCGCGGTGAAACGCCATGAGAAAGACGAGGCCACGTCCGACGGGGAGCCGAGGGTGACGATGGCCGATTTCAGCTGCGCTCTGACTACGACGAAGCCCTCGGCCATGAAGGAGGTTTTGGTGGAGGTGCCGAATGTGAGGTGGTCGGACATCGGCGGGGGAAAGGACTTGAAGCGCAAACTGCAGCAAGCCGTGGAGTGGCCGCTCAAGCATCCCGAGGTGTTCGTGAAGATGGGCATCACGCCTCCCAGAGGCCTCTTGATGTTCGGGCCACCGGGATGCTCCAAGACCATGGTCGCGAAGGCTCTCGCCACCGAGAGCGAAGTTAACTTTCTGAACATTAAGGTAAGTTCACTTGAGACGCTTATTTATTCATTTATTGTGCATTGCTACATCGCGCGATTGTTCGCAGGGCCCGGAGCTATTCTCGAAGTGGGTGGGCGAGTCCGAGAAGGCTGTGAGAGAGGTGTTTCGGAAAGCGAGGCAGGTCGCGCCGTCCATCGTATTCATCGACGAGATAGATGCGCTGGGCGGTGAGAGAGCCTCGTCCTCCGGTGGTAGCGGCAGCAACGTGCAGGAACGAGTGTTGGCCCAGTTGCTGACCGAGCTTGATGGCGTTACCGCTTTAGGTAGCGTCACGCTGGTGGCGGCCACTAATCGACCGGACAAAATTGACAACGTAATATCTCTCATCTTATATCGTTGATCAAAGTATAATTAAATGTGATACTGAATGAAGAACCAGTCTGCGGTTGCAATGTTTTTTTTTTACAATGGAAAAGAGAACAATATTTAACAAAACTTTTATCTTGACGTTACTCAGACGCTTATTATTCAAGGGTTATCATTGAATTTACATTTGATTGGTCCTTGGCAATTAAATTCTTTCTGTCCTTCCGAAAAAGAGGCAGAATAAATGTAGCACTGCACGAAAAAGATGTCGAAAAACAGTATAATAATTACGAAACAGTCGCGAGACTGTTTAAATATGTTAAAACAATTCTTCGAATGTTTCAACATTTTCCGCCCTCTTCAAATATTGTTAAATCACTTTTTTATCAACAGATTATTACAATTGACGAGAATAATTTAATCGTTACGCTATTTTGTGTCAGAGCAAAAAGTGAATATATTTTGCAATTTCTAATTGTAAATTATATCTTTTTCCGTAATACCGTGAATTGCAACAATAATTATTTCAGGCGCTTCTACGGCCTGGACGATTAGACCGTATCATATACGTGGGGCTGCCGGACGAGGAGACCAGGCGAGAAATATTCGACATAAAATTGCGAACTATGCCGATCGCGGAGGAAGTGAACATCATGGACCTGGTCTGCCTGACGGAAGGTTACACCGGCGCGGAAATTCACGCGATATGCCACGAGGCTGCCATGAAGGCATTGGAAGAGGATCTGGACGCCGCTAACGTTACCAAAGAACACTTCATTGCTGCATTTAAAGCCATCGCTCCTAGAACACCCGCCTCCCTCATCAAGATTTACAAGGAATACATGAATAAAACTTTATGAACGTCATATTAAGACGCTGTACGAATCTTATATATTTTTACTGCGAGATAAAGCGATCGAAACATCTTTTGGGTCTCAAAGAACGGGAGCGAGACGAGTCCGATGGATTTGGACTTGTAGATTCGATCGGCTAATTAATTGATTGAAAGTTAAGATGCTCACAAAATGGAGACTTTTCCTTGAATTTACAGATTGTACGCTACAATTTTTATTCTTATTGCATTTTTATCTTGTACGTATGCTTCATTCCCCTTCAAGTCCGGTCAACGCGTTTGTTTATTCGCTGAAAACTTATATGACACGCGCACGCATCTTGATCAGATTTGCGATGTATAATATGTACGATATACGACGTTTTAAATACATGATTTATTTCCTCGACGACTTGGAAACTTGATGCGATTCATTGTTATCGATAGTACAGACATGCACCAAGTGGAAATTTTCTCGGCAGTCAGAAAATGCGTAATGAAATAGTTCCAACAGTAAAAATGGGCGTAAGGGCGCGCATAAGAGTCTCCTGAAATGGTATCAAGTAAAACACCGGTCGCTCTCAGGTTTCCTTCTGCTAGTGATATCGTAGTGTTTCGAAATAGAAGATCCGCACGCGAGCGTCGATCATTCGTAAAGTTCCAAACTCTGAGCTCTGAGTGCGATGCTATGAAACTTCAGATTTGACCTATCGTAGCACAAGGCCATTTTAATTTGGATCATTTTGATCTTCTCGCGAAAGCAGCCCGTGAATCTTTTTCTCTAGCGTAAACTCATGAAAAGCGAAAAGTTTTATTAACGAATTCAATATTTGTCAATGAAAATTTTCACCTTTCACGAGTTCACGCTTGAGGAAAAGATTCGTGATTGAGTCTCTGCAACGTTTATAAAATCAGAAATTTCACCATTTTCGATAGATGTAATTGTAGGGTGATACAGTGAAAACTAATGGAGGATCGAAATTGCGCTAGAAAGATACATGTTTATATCGTTAAAATTAAGAATCGGTAGAGACATTTTATTAATTCACAACATCAGATCTTTTCTTAATTCGTTTTAATACGCTCGCCACGGACAGATCCCGATTACGAACAATGAGAAAGAGAGAAACGAATAACGAGACAAATGTACTTTCAACGGTTTTTTTTACACATTCAGTCGTCTAGATTCTTCAATGATTGCGATAAATGTTAAAACCTGAAAATTGCCAGCGTCTCTCCATATTCGCGCCGATACCGAACAATTCCTGCTTGAAGACCTGTGGAAAACGTTGCATCAAAACCTCGACTTCATTCGGTTTGATGCCAGGCTCCATTTTCTGCAGATAGGACCATAGATAATCGACGCTCGCGCCGAACGGGTGGATGTGTAGAAACGTTGCTATGAGCCCTGCAACATGTTAGATATTAGCGAGTCGACGTTGTAAAATCGTCTCGAAGTTATCCCCCGACTTTCCAAAGTTTTCGGAGTGAAAACAACACCGTAGAGCGAAATATTCACCTTAATTGAATAAACATCTACTCCAACAGAGTGATTATTTTATTGAATTTTACCCCGTGGTTGTTTTCACTCCCAAAAGCTTGAGAGAGTCAAGAATTGTTCCTCTGAAATTTCTGACGTTACCGATGAGCTTAGCATCCTTCTGGGTCACTTGCATGAAGCTGGAGGCGAGAATGTGTTGCTTCGGCGTGCGCGGTTCTTCGCTAATATCGTCGTCCTTGTCGAGCGTGATGATCTCGCTCTCCCTGGGCTCCTCCTTTTTCGTGGCGTTCAGCTTTACGGTCAGGTCCTTGATCTTCTGATCGTCCTGCGCCTGCTGCTTGCGCGACTGCATCAGCTGCTCCTGCATACCCTTCAACGTTTGCTGCAGCATTTTCATCTGCTTCTCCTTGCCCTCCAGCTCGGCTTTCGTTTCCGACTTCAAGAGGTCCACCTGCGGAAATGTATGAATTAGCAATTTTCCGAGATACCAGCTCGGACTCGCGATCGTCGAGTCAATTCGCCTGGATACCTCATTCTTGTACGCTTCCAATTGGCATCTCAGACTGTCGTTCTCCTCTTTGAGGCTCTGCAGCCTCTCGACGTCCTCTTGATTGCCGTCCAACTGACCGCGCGTCTTCTTACGTTGAGGCTCCTCCTCCGAGTCCGACACGTCCATCTCGCCCTCGCCCTCGATCAGACTGTCTTCCAGCTGTACCGCTTTTATTTCCTGTCAGTCACAAATGGCGAAAATTACAAGGCGCCCCGAACCGCGGCAGTTACTTTCTCACACAAATGCATGCAGAGTATATGTAATTTCCTATCTGCTGTTCGAACAACAGTATTCAGATACATTCCTAAACGTGGCTGGTTCTAGTCTTTTTAATTTTGCTTTCCACTGACGCACAGTATCGAGATTTTCCTTTATGTACACGGTAGTTTCGTACATTTCTGTAATTCAGAGTTTAGGCGCGACACCACGACGCGATTTTGTCTCGGTTCTCACATTGCTCCCGGGACTTTTGCTCGTCCTTTCGGAACGACTTGGGCTTACCTGATCGTAAGAAGCAGATGCAGCTCTGAAGTACAGAAATAACAAGTATTGTATATCGAGTAACGCTGTTCGAGAAAGGAGCGAGGCACATCCATGCTGGATAGTCTGTAGTTGCTTTTTCAATCCGAGAGTGCTAATTTTCCGTATTACCTTCTGTCCCATATGTTGTTCTTAATGTTGTGCGTGTTGCCGATACAGGATTTATCTGCCGCGCTGTCACGGCATTCCACGACAAAGTACCGAATCGAGTAACGCACGGGGAGAAGCATGTGTCTGACCGATTTCTTTTTTCAATTTTTCTTTCTTTTCTCATTACAGCAGGCGATTCGGCCCTTTTCTCAATTTGCCACTTACCTGTGTGGTACCTTAGAAATACAATTTGCAAAACGAGCGTGTGTCGGAGGTAAATCGTGCAAACGCGCAGAGGAGCACATTGCGACAGAGAAAGAGAGAGGATTCTCAGGTTGCTCGTGGAAGTTACGCGAGAGAAAGAGCAAGTATACGGAAGACACGCTACCAGCATGTGAAAGAGAGAGAGAGAGAAAGAGAGAGAGAGACAGAGAGAGAGAGTGCGTTCGCATACATACCGAGGATTGTTTCTTCCACATCTCGATGTTCTTCCGCTGCGCCTTAGTGAAGTGATCCCAGACCTTCTTGTGGCTGGCCGCAGTAAAGACTCGTTCGATCTGACTGACTGTTGATGACATGTGGTCGCATGTTGCATACAAAAAAACACAACAAATCCTCCGTTGTTATACCTTTTGCTTGAAACTCTAAGCTCGTAGGTAGTAGTTTCGTCTATGCTTTTCACTTGATTACGTATACTCGTTATGTTAAACGTCTAGCTATATCGTGACAGATTGCCTCGTGATCGGGAACGGTATATCTCTCGATCCCATTCCTCTAACAACGCTTTCTTTCGTACGTATGTACAGGCTACGGAGTCTCTCACGGAGCCTCCCGTAGATTGTGTCGATTGGCTGGAGCGCGTCTAATCTAAACGTAAAGTTGACTTCACCAAACACTCCGCTCTCTCGCCTTGCCACCGTCCTGCGGACAATGTAACCCCCGAAGACTTGCAATCCACGGGCTTCCTGTGTCAAGGACCATTTTGAACAGCAGCGAGTCTCGCGGCGCATTGCCGAGCGTACACGATACAATTTTGCATGTACATGAACGTTTCGCGGTGAGAATTGCAGAAAGAATTGCTCGCGCGACGTGTGGTTCAAAATAATCTGTTAACAACGGATGCCCAGCCCATCACCCTTACTCCTTAGCATTGCCAAGCATGCAGCTTTCAAGTACACTATGACTCTATGAGATGGAATTTGCGACAAGGATCGCCTTCGTTCGTCGCTTTCGTTGGATCCCACGTCCGAAGAAGATAGGATTTTTTTTTCACACCCACCTTATCCTCGCCTACTATCTCTGATCCTTCCTACCGAGAAGCCGCCTCCAATGCATCGGACCACAAACAGAATTCACAGACGGACACGCCGTGATACCACTTGAGAGAGATTGTCTAAAGTTAGCGACGAGACAGAGCAAGTACTCGGTCGTATGTATCAAGAGTAGGTTTTACATCAAGCGCCTCGCTTGATATGCAAAAGCCGGCTTTCGGAATATCATACGTCGAGAGATCGAGACAAGCTTAACATTCGACTTGGCTTTGTACCTGATCGCAATCGGTTGCCGTACCTCTAAACGTCATGAATCGTTTATTCTTAACTATCACGTAACGTTGTAACGTACCTTCGTCACTGGTATAAGAAAAATGTCAGCGTTTTATCGCAACTCAATACGTGGCATACGAGGATTTGTCATACACACAGCGAGGAACGCAGCGAATGCCGCTGTTGTTACTTTAAGATCACGAGCGGGATAATCACGATTTCTCTTGCGGTTTACTATGTCCAAATAAGGGATTTCCACTATTGGTCGCTGGGCCTATTTATGCCAGAGTGAACTTACCAGCCAATGCGGATTTTCTTAGCGCACACGAAATATGTACGATAGTATGGAGCTATCTTAGATGTAGGTAAGATACGAAGGCGTGTAAACGTACATTGTATGAGGAGTCCCTGCATTCTTCCCTTCATCAATTCCTTCGCCTTTTGCAGCTCCTCCTCGTACGCGGCCTTCTCCGTCAGCAGCCGTCGCACGTGCGAGTTCGTCGATTGTATCATGGAGTAGAAGATATTGGCGTTACGTTTGATGCAATCCCCACGTTCCAGCCACGTTACAACGATCTGCAATCCACGCATTGGGATTATGTAAACGGGATTGAAAGTACAGAGACTGGAGAGCGAAGTATTTATCGCTTATTGAGCCTCGTGTCCAAGTTGTAGCTACAGATCTAGCAAGCTCTCTAGTTGCAAGCTCATTGGCTATAGATTTCTCGGAAGAGCTACAACTTGGACACAGTTCTTGGACCGTGGACACGAGGCTTTAGAATTGACTACACACTTGCACTGCCTTCATAAACGTATCGTCTTGTTTAATCTTTTCGCAGATATTCGACGCCTCGTGGTCTGTGTAATGCACTACCGGAGGCGGACTCGACGGCGGCCTCTGTCTCTCCTTCTCCACTCTTTCCCTGTGGCGTTGCTCTCTTTGCAATTGTCGTTGTCTGCACTCCCACTCGTACTGATCGTCTCTAGCCTGGGATCATTGCAAAGGATTATAAGTAAAGCCGAAAAGCGCAAGAATGACAGAACACATTTATATGTTCATTAAGAGTCCTGGTTTAACTTGAACCATCTCCAAGAAATAAATAAAGCAGACCTGAGCGAAGTCTACGTGAAGTCTACCGGTATTTGCAGGTTCTCCACTGGATCCTATTCTCACTCTGTAACCCGAGAGATAGATCGCCGCGTCGACGCTGGCCTCCAGAACGAAGCGTATGTGGCAGAAGTTCTTCTTCGAGAGGCGCAAAGTAGTTATCTCCCCGCACCGTTCGAAGATCTCCTGTATTATAGCCTCGGTGATGTTCTCCGGCAGCCCTGCGCATTGCAATTACGTGAGAACGTGCACCGTCGGGCCTCCCGTTCGACGCTTACCTCCCACGAAAATCGTCCTGCACCCGGGCGGCCTCTCTCGCGTGGTGGGCGGCGGGGCGTTCGGATTCGGCGGGAACAGCACGCAGCTCTTGCAGTGTATGATCTCTTTGGTACCCTGAGGCGTCATCGGCGGCGGCGGCAGGCTCGCGGTCATTATCTGCGCAGCGTCCGTCATGATCTGCTCGGCGCCCAGTATTTGAGCGCCTATCATGCTGCCGTCGTGCGACATCATGCCCATGCCCATCGGATTGTACCCGTGCGTGTGGCTCATGTGCGGGCCTAGCGTCATCTCGCCCATCATGGGCGCCATCGGACCCATGGGGCCCATGCCCATCATGGGATAGCCCACGCCCATCCCCCAGACACCGGCCGCCGGTTCCATCTGCGTGCCCATGCTGGGCGCGTTGCTCGCGTTCGCCGACGGCAGGACCTCGTTGCTGTTGGAACTGTTGACGTGATTGCTGCTGTTCTTCGACGAGCTGCCGTTGTTCCTCTCCTCGGCCCTTCGATCGTCCCTTCGATCTCGCTCGCTCCTCTCCTCCCTCCTGTCCCGGTCCCTGTCGCGCCTGTCGCTGCGCTCTCCCCTCGACCTTCCGCAAGAGAACGAACAAGCTATGAACTAGATTCGTGGATGGATTTCACGCGATTATGTAACTGTCGTCTTTCTCGGCTAACCGGGGAAAAGTGGGACAAATCTCATTGCGTGTACGATCCAATCTTCGC